TAAACGAGGCTTTTCGATTGCCAGAAGAAAGCAAATTGAAAAATTATAGGAAATTTCTAAGATAAACCAGTGTGAAGAAGTTTCAAAAATTTGATAATTAATCTGATATTAAATTACGTAAACGAATGAGCAGAGAAAGGCAATATCTGATAACACGTGCGATTTATCCGTGAACCAATAGAAGATACGCAATACGTCGAAGAAATCAAATAGCACGAAATTTGTTGAAACCAATGAAGACAATAAATATCTTTTCAGTAAAACGAGGAATGCAATCGCCGTTAGGACAATTCATAAAGTTCATATGTAAAAATTCGTAATTCGCCTATCACTAAGGAAATTATGAGAAATTTGCTGCAGTTCCACTAGCATTTTATCTCATTTCTACTTACTTGTTATAGTTAAAGCTCTTAATTCTTTGATTTTGATTTTGAGTAAAATTAATTGTGCTAAACTGTGTTAGTGATATGTTATATAATTTAACATAAATATAACCTATATTAAACTATATTCATGAACTAAAGACTATAAAGTTTTCAATTACTTTTTAATTTATTGCATTTATTACTTCGCCAATTCATTTAACAACTGCAACTAAAACTGAAATGACCAAAAGAAATTCTCAGTTTCTTTATTAAAATAACGTTTTCAGATGTCAATTTTTCTTTTCTCGAAGAAATGTTTCGTGAAAATTTTGGGAAAATATTTCCTAAAAAAATAAAAAAAACTCTATAAATCAAAACCCTATTTTTTTGCAGCGAATAACTCAAAATAAAAGTTGTACTAAAAATAATTGAGTAAATTTTTTTTGCGAATTTGGGTTTTAATTCAATTAAATTCTATTTTCCACGTGTTGAACTCTTTATAAGGCGAGAAATCACATCAAATTCCTAAAAGACTATTCAGTGAATACTTTGTGTTCAATATGTTATTGGCAGTGGTATTTATTTTTTTCAGTTTCAGTAAGTTTTATTTAAATGAGGATTTTTCTTGGACCAACTTGCTTTCATGATTAAATGGGAGCAAAGTGGACTGAATATGAAAATATAAAATAATTTTAAGACAAAATTATGGCGTCAAAATGTCCTGGTTCACAAATTACTGAAAAAATGCGGTCGTATGTATTAGAGGAACATAATAGACTTAGATCACAGCTAGCAAACGGTAAAGCAGAAGCATCGAACGGGCTTATGCCAAGAAGTTCGAACATGCATGAATTGGTTAGAATCATTATTAAAATTAATGGAAATACCAATAATGGTGTTTGAAACCAGCATTAATTGAATCCTTTTAATAAAATTCAGGAATGGGATTGTGGTTTGGAAAAGAAAGCACAACAGTGGGCTGAATATTGCGATTTCGAGCATTCAACACAAGAATTCCGTAGTTATAGTGGTGAGAATTTGTATGCCAGATGGGGATATGAAGAACCGAAATTAGGTGATTGCAATTTTGAAACAGTTTCGTTCATTAAAGTTCCACTCGTTCAACATTCATTTCTTTTGATTTGCAGAAATTTTGTGAAATGGTAGAAAAAATGAAATTGCCTTTTTTAATTTTATTAAGTTTTCACTAAACACCCCTAGCATTATTAAATGATGTTATAACTATTATCATCAGTAAACTGAAAGGATATTTTAAATAATCTAAAACACCATGGTGCCCTAATAAAATGCCTTAGGTGAAAAGCAATTCGTGTTTGCTGTGAAAGGATGGTGGTGGGAGGAAATAAAAGATATGCCAGCGCGTTCCACAATGGATGGTACTCCACGAAGCGTTTTGCATTTTACTCAGGTCACTCTCAGGAAATTATGAGAAATTTGCTGCAGTTCCACTAGCATTTTATCTCATTTCTACTTACTTGTTATAGTTAAAGCTCTTAATTCTTTGATTTTGATTTCGAGTAAAATTAATTGTGCTAAACTGTGTTAGTGATATGTTATATAATTTAACATAAATATAACCTATATTAAACTATATTCATGAACTAAAGACTATAAAGTTTTCAAAATAATCCCTAAAATTGTCAAGTCCTTTTAAGATGGCGTGGGCCATCACAAGCAAACTTGGCTGTGGAATGGCTAAATGTTACAATAATCATGGATACCCTTTTATGGCTCTTGTCGTTTGCCACTATGGCCCAAGGTATTTTTTATTTTTCATCGACAAAAAACTCTCATTATTCAATAAAAATGCGAATTTCAGAGGAAATTGGGATAAGATAATTTATGAACAAGGTGAACCATGTAGTAAATGTTCGGATTATGGTAGGGTATGTAATGGTAATGGTCTTTGTGTTGCTGGTGATAAACTCGCTGAAGCGCTCTATAATGAAAAAACTCATAGCCAACAATCGCAAAAGCAACCTAAAAACAAGGTGAAAAGTAAAGAAATCGAACCTCGAACTCATAGAGCTTCTGGATGAATTGACAATGCCCAGTTAAAATTGAAATTTCCTTTTACTGAAGGAAAAATAGATGCTCCTTCAAAACTAACCTCGTCAAAAATAGATGCTCCTTCAAAACTAACCTCGTCAAAAATAATTCATAATTATTGAAATTTACCGACCGTAATTTTTTTTTAACCGACAACGGCAATGAATTTTGATATTCATCTATCTAATATTTATTCCACATTTATCTTATAGTTTATCTTTCATAATTTTGATAAAATGTTTTTTTAAGTTTGCTTTTTTCCATTATATCTTCTTAGGTAATAAAATATGAAATTTCCTTTTGTTTTGTCGACTGCGCAGTAATGAAATATGGAAAAACGTAACTGAGGGGAAATTTATCATCACGAATGAATTATAGGCAGAACTGGCACTTTTTGTGGCCGATTTAGTCATGTCGAATATAAGGGATCGATGCTATTACATTCGGCATTGAACTGAAGGAAAAATACCGTTCAATTACATCTGTCTTTAACATATCTCTTTCACTTCAAGCGATTTTATCCATTTATGAAATGCTTATACTTATCATCGTCTCACTCATTGAATTTTTTTCACCGGTTACTAATAAATTCCTATTAAACTAATTTCTATTATTGTATTACGAAGGATCGCTGAATTAGCTTTATTTCATTATCGCATTAAATGAATGAAATTATTGAAAAAAAGGAGTTATTGTATGAATTATTGTCTTTCACATAGGCCCTCTGATAGCAGACATTTTGACGGAGAATAGGTCGTGCATTCCGCATCGCTTGCGCATTTTCTGCCACTCTCATATAAATTAGTGTTGCCCCAATGTTGTCCGCTAAAAAATATAAGTTTCCTATAAATAGTTTGCAAAGGTTCTTTCTTCGTAAACTCGAGCGAACTCAAAAACGATGATCGCTATAAACATGAGAAAAAAATTCAAATATAGTGAATTTTTACCTTGGGTAGTAATTGCATGTAATAAATTGGAAATAATAATAATTGTCATCCCTAGGATATTTGCAAAATGATACTCCACAGCCAATCTCTGTAGTGCGGGCTGTGATTATCTAAAACATTAGCAGTAAATATTAATAAGTGTTGATGAGAAATATTACTTAGAATCATTTTATTCATGTTAGCGAATGTCAGAACTGGCTCATATCTTTAAAAGCCTAATTTTGTGGTAAATTTAAAAAAGAATCTTGAAAACGCCTACCCCTCATAGTCAATCGTAGAGAATTATAGATAAATATTATATGTCTATGAATAAATCTAGCCAACCTAAGAGCTACGTTACATGTCGTTAGAAGAAGAATAAGCAAAGTAAGTGAAACCTGCGCTAGATTTCCATTTAAACCAATCAAATGTTGGTCCACTGATAAATTAATTTCTTCCATTGGTTTGTTCTTCACCCATTCATTCACCGCCATTGACAATATGACATCTGTAAAAAATATTGTATATATATATATTTTTGAAGAGTCCTCACCATTACTGGTTAAACTCGCTCCACTGGCTTCTTGTATTGCCAGAGAACTCCTTGGCGATAGAGATACAAGGTTTACTTCCGCGGGGGATCGAACCTCAGCATCGGCGTTCCCAATTAAGCAACAACCCACTGAGCCATTCTATCCCCATATATATATATATATATATATATAGGTAATATATAGGTAATATAGGTAATATGAAAAATGCGCAATATTAAAATAATGATAATAATGATATTAATGATCTCCTCGAGTAGCCTTTTTTTCGTAATTTGATAATTTCCTATAATTCTATATAAATTTATCTTTTCTTCCACATTTTCTATTAATTGGCAAGTTTGAACCAGTTATTATCCACGTTGTCAGTGAAAAATCTTTATATATATATATATATATATATATAATCGATATCAAAAGGCGCCAATTAGCTAGGACTGCATTGTACTCCCATAACTCTTTGGTCTTCTAGCTACGTCGTAAAATTATTCAAAACCACTGTGACAACTCTAATCATGAAAGCAATGTTTAGAATTTAAGTGAAGCGAAAAAACATCACTGCGTTCTAAATGTATGCAGCGAGATAGGCCAGTTGTCAGCTATGCTATTCCAGCACGATATTAATGATGTCGCAGAATACAATTCGCTATTTGACATAATCTGTGGTAAATAAAATTAAAGCGAGGTCCAAGCATGGCTTGGGTTAATACTGAAATATCTGAGCTTCCCAGTTATATTTTAAACTTGAAATGAAGTGCTTGCTCACAGATGTAGATATATAGCTTCAAATCGAGAATTCTAAAAATAAGGCACCAATCAAAAACACTAAAATAGTGAGACTAGTAACAGTGGAATTTGTAATGAACAAGTTAAATTAAGTCAAGTTTATTAAACAATTTTTTAACTATATAAATTCGTAATCTGAACGTACCGATGGGCTCATTTTCAAGAGTCCATCTTGCAAACAAGGTTTCACCAATTTGATCGCCATAAAAATGTTTGTGGAAATTTTCTGAGCGATTATAGCGACATTTGGCCGTGTGTTTTTGAGCCATTTTTTCTAACGAGCAGTTCCATCTCTTCAATTCCAAGTCTAATGAAAATATAACCAAAAAATTCTAAAATTAGTCATCCGTGGAAGAAATAGAGACACGAAATTAGATTGGTTTTTGAAAGGTATTGCGAAACATTAATAAATAATAACCAGTTTGTACATCTCTTTGGCCACTGGATATGTTCCATCTGATGTTGAAAATTTTCCCGCAGCTACTTTTTTGCGTAATTCATTAAGTTTCTTCAAAATATTATCTCGATTAGCCAAAGTGATCTTCGATTCAGGGCATGAGCTGCCTGAAAGAAATTTGGGATATATTTGGGATTGGGAAATATTTTATGAAAATTCTAAAGCAATTAAGGTGCGGATAAATAATATGGACAAATAGAATGGAGGTTACTCACAACTACAAGTAAGAAAATAAAAATAATGGTTAATTATCTTAAATAGTAACTAAAAAACTTTGATAGAATAGGTTCTGTTGATACATCTATTTTTCCTTTATTAACTATCTCTTCACCTGGAGTTTCTTGCTCATCAGGCTTTTTTTCCTGCATTATTGGTTCATCCTGGAATTCCGTGACTTCATCTGTTAGCGGCGCATAGTTTGCAGGTCCTTCTTCAGGTCGTTTGCTTGGAGTTTCTTCACAACCAGGCTTTTCAATATTCCATGGTACTATTGGCTCATTCTGAGATCCAGCGAAAGTTTCTGTAACTTCAGCAGGCAACTCGGTTTCTGCATCGTTTGCTGGTTCTTGTTCAGGCTGTTCACTTGGAGTTTCATTATCACCGAATTTTTCAGTTTCTGCTGGCATTATCAATTTATCCTGAGATTCCATGACTTTGTCTGTTGGCGGCGCAGTTTCCGCATAGTTTGCAGGCCCTCCTTCAGGCCGTTTGTTTGGAGTTTCTACATAACCAGGCTTTTCAATATTCCATGGTACTATTGGTTCATTCTGAGATCCAGCGAAAGTTTCTGTAACTTCAGCTGGCAACTCGGTTTCTGCATCGTTTGCTGGTTCTTGTTCAGGCTGTTCACTTGGAGTTTCATTATCACCAAATTTTTCAGTTTTTGCTGGCATTATCAATTTATCCTGAGATTCCGTGACTTTGTCTGTAGGCGGCGTAGTTTCCGCATAGTTTGCAGGATCTTCTTCAGGTCGTTTGCTTAGGGTTTCTTCATAACCAGGTTTTTCAATTTTCCTTGGTACTATTGGCTCATCCTGAGGTCCAGCGACTTCGTCCTTTGGCAAAGTTTTAAATATATACAAATATCGGAACAATTTTCATCGCCATATTATTTATTTGTAAATTTAATATTTAATTCATTCGAAATTTGTAATGATCATTAATTGGAAATTAATTTTTGAGGAGCAATAAAAATTTTGAGTTTTTTGGCTAACAAGAGAGAGAATGGCGAATGATAAGTAGTTACGAACGATTATTATTTTATTAATTATTTTATTAAGCTACTGCGAGGCTCTTCTTTAATTATTTACTATCAAGCAGGACGAAAACGCCATGTGCATGTATGTATTAATAACAAAAGTTAAAATAAGAAATAATAAAAATTAATGATAAGAGAAAACAAAAAAAAATGACTATAAATATAAAAGCAAAAAGTAAAGTAAATAATACTAAAAATTAATAGATTGAAGAGAAAATTATAAAATGATACAATATAGAACAATTCGAAGTTGCTGTGTTATATACAATCGGATGGCAAAATCGCGATTTCACATTTCCTACATTATGTGAGTTTTTTAAATATCATAAATGATATTATCTATCCTTTTTTCAAAGATAGCTAGGGATGGCGCATAAATAGGGAAGCTATGGTGTTCGGTAATTTATTCCAGCAATTAATAGTACGAATAAAGAAATCATGAGTCCTTAGTTTAGTTTTACACATATGTTTAGTAATTTTAGCCCACTAGTTCTTGTTGGATTCAAATTTAGTCCCAAATTATTTTGAAAAATCTAGTTTAACATAACCATTGTAACGAAAAGAGGGATTCGTTTGTCGTTCAACCTTCAAGTCGCTATTCTTTTCCGTTAAAAAAGGTACCGTAATCGTAACTCGATCGTTGACACGAACCTCAAACTCAAGCTTGGGCAATTAAACCTTTGTTTAGATAACAATATAATTAAATAATTTAGGCTAAATTTACAACACTATTAAATAACGATATAGTACATTATAATATAACTAATGTCCAATGATAAAAAAAAACAATGATAAATAAAAACAACCTACCAAAAAAAAAATATCGAGCCATAAACAGCTTACCTACTAGCTTCCGCCGCTCATCTACCTTCACAAATAAAACAATAATTTGTTCCCCAAAAAGGAGAAGAATTGATATAAAATTGCGGGCTCAACCATACTTTTGTTGGCCTTCATCGACTCTGCTCATTTTTAAACACACTCCCGGAGGAGCCTTTATTAGTTAAATTCGTATCGTACCTCTTTGTCAACGTCGTCAGTTATCTCTAATGGAGCTATTTAGTTGATCGACTCGTTGTCCGGTTGTTAATGAAACCAATGTTAATGAAACCGATCATATTTTGCCATCGGAATTTCGGATCAATTCGGTAATTCTTCCTAGCCTCCATTAAGCTCTGGGCATAGCGTCGATTAAGATGACAACTTCCCCCTCTTTAGGTTGACGAAATATCATCATTAGGTTGACGAAGTATTATGGATATTCTCAGCTTGAAGTGTCCAAGATGGTCGTTGTAGTAACAATAAGTCTCTCGGGGTAAATACTCGAGACTATTTCTCGTACAGTAGCACAGTGGTCGTCGTTCACAATCGCTCGCATATCATATATTTTAGTTCAAAAATTCTCATCGTCCATTTTTTATTCTCCAATCACTCTCAGCGTTGTTTTCATTATACCAATCAATCATTCATATACAACCTCCCATGGGGCATATTTCGGAATGAAGTTCCCCTCGATTTCTTCTTCGACAATATCCGTTTGAATTTTCTTGATTGCTTCTTGCGACAGACTAAAATTCTTCGCATTGTCGGGCAACATCGTTCTTGTTTTACTTAGTATAGCCATTAACTTTCGTAACGCCAGTAAGAAATTTTCTGCAGATAAACTGTTTACTGTCTCCAAATGGATCGCTCTTATCGCCATGCATATGAATAGCGCTATCC